AGACAGAAAGACATTTTTTGCACTGGATTTCAGCGTGTTCCCTGCTACAGGCTCTGCTATACGAGCCACCTGTGCGCTGCTGGTCATTAAACACAACGTTTGACAAGTATGTTGGAAAAACGAAATATCTACTTCCTTCTGAAGAAAGAACACCACCCATTTTTCTAAGACCTATACTGATTAAAATCTCTCTGGATCCTGATATACATCTAATGCTTGAACCAAAAATTCTGGAGGTACCGAACGCTGTGGGAAGTTCTTTTCGTCTTGTTGCATCAACACAGTTAGCTACCTACCTTGTGGATAGAAGTAACTTCCATCTTTTTCTGTAGACAAATGTTTGAAAAAATATTCTTAACTTGAAGGCTGATCTTCCTCTGAAAATCAAAAAGCAAGAGCATGCACATCAAGCCAAAGAGTTATATTTATGTACACACATAGTCAAAGGCAAATGAACTTCTGGCAAGCAAAATTTTTTGGTTTGGTTTTCATTCAAATTGGACAATCTGGAAAATGTAGTGTGTTCTAGTCAAAAGAACCTCTATTGCAATTTGAATAGAAAGTCAGTCATTCTTAGGGGGTAATTGTGATCCTCAGCATCAATCAGTTTAGATCACAAGGGCTTTTAGTAATTTTATTATACTGGCTGCAGTAACTCAGGGTTCCTTTCACTCCCGCTCATCCATCTAACATGTTAAGCACGCCTAAACTAGTCATCTTGTCTCCTCCTTCACGAAAAACTGAGCTATGAGCAATTCCAGAGATCAGCTCATCTACCTTAAATACCTCTCTCAGCATGGGACACATCACATCCTGGGGCAGCTTCATTTTCTTAGGCTTGTCTTTCTCTAAGCCAGCTTGGCCCTTAGTTTATGATGCCAATCAGATGCATATTTATATCAAATTAGATTAAATGCCTTTGTTACTGTACACTAGCATTAAAAGACAACTTTTGAAATGCACAGTTGAGAGTAAAAATAAGCAATAATTTCTGTATAAAGTGAAAAATGTACCAAAAATTTTAAAATGTGGCATAAAAGTTATGATAGTTGCTCCATTTTGAATGGCTTTTCCAAAAGCATTCACAAGTTTTCTCATAAAAATAGAACTTGAGCACATGTTAAGGCAATATATACAAATCCATACATATACACACTCCTGCGAGATATTAGTTGTTTAGCTGCTGGAGCCGCAGCTCTGAGCTACCTACCTCTCTCCCCTGCGGAGAGGCTCCAGAGCCAGCTCCTAAAGCACAGGAATTGATGGCGCAGTATTTTAAGGCAGACCAAAATCAATGCAGGTTAACTTAAAACACTACACAGCAAACTGCTGCAGCCTGGGAGCTGACTGACAAGGCAAGGAGCTGGGGACCGGCGTTGCACTAAAGCATCTTTGCTCCTTGGTCACAGCCGGAGGCCGCGGTGTCCCTGGGAAGGTGCTGCCCGTCGGCACTACTGCTTCACAGACCCCACGCCATCGTGACAAAAAACACCCCTAAAATTTTGCAGCTGCCAGTCACGTCAAAGACCCCAGTGTATTTTGTCTTGTACCAAAAACGTCCACGTACAACGATGCAAAAAGGGCACAATACCTATGAAAAGCTCTGTAGGGTAGATCTGGAAGTATTTCCCACTGCATACACAATTCAGATTGATCAGACCACAGGCACTTTGTTTAAACAATGAGATTCTCTCACCTGCTTTGATTCCTGTGTATAAAGAAGATTATGTGGAGTAGCAGAAGCGAATCGTGAAGACTCTATGTCCAGACAAGGAATGTGTTGGTGATGTAGGGGAAGAAGAGGGGACCCTCCTGCTCCCATCCCATAGCCCCTCGAAAGCCGAGGCCGTCTCCTGGGCTGGGAGGGGACGACAGGGACAGACCTGCAGCACGTGGCACCAGAGAAAAGGTTGGTCCCTGCAGAGCTGGGAGCAGGCTTCAGAAACCAAAAGGTGTCCCTCTGATAAAATTATGCCTTAGGCCACACAGCAGTGCAGATCAGGAGGTGCAAAGATAGGTCAGCGTTTTCAGAGGCTTCAGATGCTGAACTGTTTCTCTAAGAGGTGTCGTACTGAACCGCGTCAGTACTTGCTGCTCACAGAAAGTGTTCGTTTCTGTTGCCTTTGGTGATGCTTCTGCCTATACCCCAGAAAAGCAACAATTCAAAGAAGAAAAACAGCAGCCTCCACCTAAACAAAAAGAAAGAAATGTTCTGACAGAGTCCAGTTGATAAAAAGGTGCAAAGGGCAAGGCGGGGAGGGGGAGGGAAAAATTAAGGATCGCTGCATCACTAAAGTTCTCCACAGAAGTAGTCTCATTGGCCTGACCACCTCAGGCCCTAATGAGAAAAATTATATATAAAGTTTATCCTTTATTCTAGAAGAATTTCCTTTGTCACTCTGAAGACAATACTTTAAAAAAAGTCTTAAAAAATAACTCGACGCTTTAAAAAAAATTGTTGTAACCTGTTTTTCCTCCATTTGTGAGGATATGCTTCACTTCCAGGTGTAATAAAAGTCCTTAATACTGACTTTTAGAACACAGTGGAAACCCAATTACAATATTTTGTATTGTGATTGTACGTGCTAAGGAAACTAAACCTGAAATTGGAATCCCTGTGCGTTTTCAAAAAAAATAGATTTTTATTGTGCAGGTAATTTTTTTTTTCCCCCCCTTCCTAAAATATACAACTTCACAATCAATGAGTCATAGGATTTCCCTTGGGACAAATTAACCCCTTATATGAAATAAACCCAGTAAAATGCAGTCATTGAGTCAGGCTTCAGAAACATTTCCTAAACTTTAAAGTCCACGACGGGAAAATAAAGCAACATTCAGTTATATTTACAGAGCTCATTTATTTCTACAAGTTAACACTGCCTACATTTAAACTTTCAAGTAACGTGGCACAGTAGAAGTGAATACGTGGAATGAAAGAGTTGGTGCTGAAAACCTGGCATCCACACTACCGGTGTTCGGGTGGTTTTGCTTTGGACCAGCTCGGGTGGGAGCCCACGCACTCAGCATCCTTTGGTGGAGGAATGTGGTCGGTGTGCTGGCGGAGACTGTCCGGCAGTTGATTTTTATGAGAGAGAAATGCAGTTTGTGTACTCCGAAGATGCTCCACAATGACACAGTCCAAATCCTGGTGAACTGGGATGGCAGGAGATGGCCTCAAAAAGCAGAATTTTGACTCAAATGTAAATACTAATTAAACCCATGCACTGTCAACATAAAAAACTCTCTCAAAATGTTTGCCTAAAAAACTTTCAAATAACACTTTAAGTTACTATAAACAGAAAACATTTAAAGAAAAAACTGTTTGCAAAATGTTTTCTGTGTCTTAAATTACTGCTTTTCTACATAATCAGTTACTGGCATTTCCCTATTTCTATGAAATTCCACCACAGAAATACAAGAAAGAAAAACACATATAAATTTAAGACATTTTACTGTACACCCTTAAACCGGTAGATATTCAGGATATATACAACACATATACAATACACAGTCTCCCTTTACTGTAGTGGTCTGGCTACTAGTTGTGCTTTTCTCCCAATTTAGGAAGTTTAACGTTGCCTAGTTCCATAAAAGTTTTCATGAAACATATGACTTCCTGACAGCAAACAGCTCAAAAATTAGTGCATTCAATATGTAAGCCTTATATTCTTAACAGAGTGACAACAAACCTTAATCTTAAGGTTAAGTAGTCTTTGACTAACAATATAAAACTGAATTTCTAAGCATTAAAAAATTTCTTTATCTACAACTATCTTCAAAAAAATGGGTAAAACTTCAGCTCATATTTGAGCCAAGTCTCAGCTCAAACATCATTCTGAAGATGAATTTAGTTTGATTTTATCAGTTTTGATGGCCTTTCTCTGTTTCGGTTGAGACAAAACCAGGAAGACGACACTGGCAGAGCACCAGTTCCTTGGTGTTTCAAAGCCCAGTTAATTGGAGCGTGCTTCAATGAAAAGCCCACAGATTAGGCGCATATTCGACTCAGATCAACAAATCTGTTGTAGCTTGTCTTAAACCTTATTTATAAAAAGGTATTGTGATCATTGCCGTGTCTATACAGTATTCCCATCAGTGACTATTATTTATGTCTGCTGACCGACAATGATCTAAAACTTTCAAATCAGGTTTTGCCTGACTGATAACTGTGGGTCCATATGCTTCCAGATAGAAAAATATGCATACAGCAACAGAGGTTGCATTCAAATGTTTTGACTCATTTGAAGGCGATTACTGTGTTGCTGTATTTCCTATACATATGTACACAAAGAAACATCGGTAAAAACAGTCATCATTTCCAGACAGGTAGAAACTTTAACATGTATGAAATTACAGTCCCCAGGCTAAAATCTTCCTGCCCCCCTGGCAGAAATATTAATTCTGAGAAGATGTTCCTATCGGCTATAGTGTAACAACTCTGGAATGAAGAAATCTTGAACTTGGCACCACCAAGGTGTGGAATCTGCTGTGCTCCTGCATCAGTGTGCTGGTGCTCCCTGCGAGCCAAAAGAAGTCAAATCGGGCTGCCAAACAGGGTGACGGGAAGAACATTAATAATTGAAACTCAGCAGCTTTATCTCCTCCTTTCTCTGGTGAGGGTTGGGTTCTTCAGGGACAGCAAGCAGGACACATTCGTCACAGTACACCTGACTATTACTTACACATTGCTTAAACCTACTTTCAGTGACAATGCAACCAAAATCCCAGTTTGACAAACCTACGGTTTGTTAAAATATGACACTAACAAAAGAAATAGCGAGGAGATGAGTTCCCTCATAGCACAAGTTCTTGCTTTCTACATATAAACCAACCACACTTAAAAAAATTTGCAACATCATAAAATACAGTTCTGGTAACTGCCTTGCTCAGTAGCTGTGACTTATTCCTCCAGTTTGCAGAGCATTAGGTAGGGGGAAAAACCTCCCTACCCTCTTCCTGGGGTGGAAACGAAACACCAAGCCAAAAGCTGTACATGAAGATCATGATTTCTGGTCTTCCTCTGATGGGACGACTTCCAATAGGATTTGCAATGTCAGAGTTACCCTGTCTGCAAAGATAAAAGCATACACATGCGAAATTTTGGTGGGGATGGAGAAGGCAGAATCAGCCAGGAAAATTATCTTAGCTGCTCTACAGCCTAATTACACATACGGTTCACAGCGGTCATATATACCAGGTGCATATAACATTTAAATGTCTGATTCAAATTTTTCTTCTTTTTAACTTTGTTTTCTTTGCCTCTGATCCAAGGCTGTGCATATACAATAGTAAAGGAAGGGTATGGAGACATCGACTTGTTCAATAAATGTCTGCATGCATGTAAAGGCTATCTTAAAACAGGACTCCTCTGCACAATCACTTAATTTTAACAGAGTTGCAATGTTGAAATGAAAGTCTGAAAGACTTCAAACAAGATAATTCAGCTGTGCCAAGATCTACCTAAGCACAAAAGGAAAAAAAACCAACTTAAAATAAAAGGAAACAACGATTACAAAGCTTCATAGGTCTAAGAACATCATGCATCCAAAGCAACTTTAACGCTGTCTTTTTGTCACTCTGGACACTTCGGGTGATTCTGGTCATTTTCTTTTTAGGCTACTGATTCATAAATGGCACAGTTAATTTGCATATAGAATAGTAAAAGAGCATTCTCTTCCCACTCCTTTCACTTGTCCCTTTTTTTTAGTAACCCATTTTAAACAAGCAGAAGCTGTCATAAGAGAAAGTTGTGATTTTCCTCGGCCAGCACGACTCAGTGCAAAGCGAGGAGGGTAAAAGAGTGCAACTCACAGAAGATATGAACTGAAACTACTTTCCTGCTCTCCCGTCTCAGGCAGACTCTACCATCTTTCGCTCTTCTCTCTGGAGGTCACCAGTTCAGCACAAAGCCAGGTTCCCTCAGACTATAAACTGATGGGGTCAGAGAGGCTGAGACTCAACAGGGACTGCATTTTCCTCAGTCTCCCTCCCCTACCCGCAGCCGGGACTTCAGAGCCGGGCTGAGCGTGGTCGGGGTGAAGGGCAGGAGGAAAGCCAGCAGCGGGAAGCCAGCAGGGCTTTGCCTCTGCCATCCCACCCCTTCCAGGTTTGAGGCTGAGCAAAGGAAGAACAGACTTTCTGTCAAGCTGAGCTATGCTGTAACAGCTCTTGGAAAAGGGCACGGCAGCAGAGGGAAAGGCTGAGCATCTCGAGTGCTGGCTGTGATTTTGATATCCTGTTCGACAAACTAGAGTTACCCGCAGCAAGACCTTGCCCTCGCCGGGCGGGAGGCTGCTACCACTCTTCCATTTCCAGGCGGTAGTTTTGCTCTGTGCCGGCATGAAGCCGTGGAGCAGCAATCAGAGAAGTTGGGGTGCTTGCTTAGGTTCTTTTGGTTGCAATATACTCAGGATAAGACAGGATAAGGATGTTCCAATCTGTCTCCAGTCAGCGTCTGTATATCGTCCGCTTTGAGCAGTACCTGGAGTTACAGGACTAGCTTCACATTTGTAACAAGACAACTTAACATACCATGACCCCAACTTTGAACCCTAATTTTCCCTTTCAAGAGGGCAATTCACTGTAAATGGGTCCCAGGGGACAACCTTTATAAAAAACTGAGACCTGGTATCTACCTAAGCACCACACAAAGCTTCGGTGAGGAAAGCACGCAGTAATTTACTGCCTATGTATAAGACTGGACAGAAAATCTGTGACTGCAAAATGCCAAGATGATTTCCTGCAGATCCCAACATCACAAACTCAACAAAGAGAAGCAAACCGATCACATAACACTATGTTCTGAGTGAGCAAGTGTCATCCTCTGGTGTTTGTAAATAACCCTGAAAGAGACATTTTGTTATATAAACAGATCTCTTCTCCAGCATGGGCTCAGGCTATGAAGAAAGCAGTATTCAACTTTTAAGCTCCTCGCAACTCACTGGAAAGAAATAGATGTTTTAAATGAGAGTCTAAGGTTGGGTTTTCAACTGAGGAAGACCAAACAGAAGTGTTCTTGTGCTGGTGCTGCATCCTTTCACACACCGATCTGCTTTGTAGGATTTGCTAGGCTTGACTTTTTTCACTTTCACATTAGTTCTACAAAAAGCAAGAAAGCAGAGGTCAAATGAAGCCTGTACTAGCTGAAAATGATTTGTCTCAGCACATCTGGTGCTACAGCAAAATTTCTCTGGCAGAGAAGAGAACAGAGTGTTATTCCTTCCCCTGGACCCTGTTAACCCCACAAATGGTGAAGTTACCTTTCGTCCAACACAGTCATTTTGTAAGGAGAATGGGCAATGTAAATGCCATTAAGGACAGTCAAAACGTACACAACAAAGACGTTCAGCCTTGGAGACGATTTCTTGGGTTATCCATTTGAGGGCTCTGCTATTGTAACCAGCTTCAAACCCCTTTCATAAACGTACTCATCTTCAGGCCGAGTCTTTTATCCCACCATTCATTCTGGCTGTTCAACATCCCTCTCCTCTGATCCGTACAAAATCTATTCCGAATATCCAGTCTAATCTTACATGGGGCTGGTCTATACCCAGGTGTTTCTGTACCACTGCTGTCCTTTAAGTAAAGAGCACATGTTCCAGGTAGGGTTTACGAGCAGCAGTCACCTCTCATCTCCAAAGCACGTCTGGGTAGCTGAGCAAGTCAAGTTCCCCAACAAGGTGACTTTGCAAGTGGGCCAAGAGAGCCCGACAGCACCCTGTTCGTGGGCTGAGCTGCGCGATGACACAGCCTAGGAACAGTCTTGTTGGCACGGTGCTGTCTTCAGACCAACAGGCTGTGACCCCCGTGGTACTGCACAAAATGCTTTGCTGAAGTCTAAGTAGATTGGATCTATCACATTCTCCTTTGTCTAGAAAAAAATCAGTTATCTTCTCAAAGAAATCTACTCAAGTAATCTGGCAAAAATCTACCTCTTCAATGACAATCCCACTTTTTCATGTTGTCCTTTACCTCGTGTCTGGGATTGCTCTTTCATGCCTATGTACACCTAATGCATATCGTTTCAAGGTTAGAACATCAAGTTTGTAGCTGCTCAGTGACTTGACTTTTCTATGTCTCACAGAGGTACCTTAAGCGAATTTATCCTCATTCAATGCCTTTGAAAAATGCTTTCAGGCTTTATAATGGAGCTCCCTTAACACTCACAAAATAATGCCAGTTTAATGACTCCACACAGAAGGTTTATTGCTCCTTCTGAGAGGAGAAAAAAATATTTCTTTTTATTTAACAAGTAAATCTCCACTCTGCTCCACCCCAAAACTGTTCAGTATTAGTTTTCCACCATTACTGTTGCTTTTTTGGGAATAATAATTGCAAAGCAAACAAGCTGTTTCACCTACTGACTGGCATCCTCTGCTTTCCCCTCTGAGCCAGTACACTGTGTCGGTCCGTAGGTATTACACAGCTACCAGGCCTTCTTTCTAGGACAAGAATTTTGTGTTATCTGAAAAGCTAGAAGATTCACCTTCATTGTCACAGCTGGCAGAAAAAAGCTTCACATCCACCCAGTCTACCTTAAAGAGAATATTTTTTTTTTCCTCTCACCCAAGTAATGTAGTTCAACACTGGCATCCTGTGGCCAGAGACTCAAGTAACTGTATTCCAAAACCTCTGAGACTTCACAAAAAATGCCAAAAATCTCCTGGGTTTGATAAGGGAAAATTTCCTAATCCCTAAATGCCGTAGCTGAGAAATTATAAACAAACAACCCCCCAACTCTTTAATAGACTGTCCTTTTGCATACGACTGTTTTCATTTGCACTGGAGCTTTCTACCCATTCCCAAGACATTGCAAGTAATTTATAACTTTATGGATATAAAATTAAGATGACCAGAGCATGCTAGCCTTAAAGTAACATCTTTTTCTGTAAACATTTTCTACCCTATTGTCTATGGACTTCCCAGCATGAATTGAGATGGAAATTCATAGATCCTACCTCAGATAGGATATAACTATATAACCTGTATTTCTACAGAGAAAACACAAGTAAAAGGTTATAGCATAATAACATACATATGAAACACCCATTCTTTTATTGTGAGCAGCTCATTTTAAATCATCCCTTAAGACTGAAGCACAGAAGAGAATATGCATTTTTGATTTACCACTGATGCAAATAAACTATTTTTAGCTGAAAACTTTCATGGGTGGAGTTTTTCTTTGGCATCAGAAGAGATTTTCTTTCAGTTTTAACAAATTAGCCATCATTCCTCAAATATTTTGCCTATATTCTTGCTTCATATTTTGAAAATTACCTCCATTTTGGAAACCTACCTTGCCGAGTAATAAAAAAGGGAAGAATGAGGAACTGTAATAAATGACACTGACTTCTTTCTAATCAAAATGCTCCAAATATCCCTTCTCCAACACATCAGAACTTCCACAAATGCTTTCAAAAACTTTCAGAAATAGTATAAAAATGATTCTCAGTGTATTTCAGGTGTGAAATACTACAGTCAAGTCATGCAGAAGTTGTTTTTCATGAAGCACAGAAATAATTTCCACAGAGATGTGTCAGGCACGGTATATTTTGCTATCATTTTGTCAGGAGCCACCGCTAAGGACAATATCCCCACACCAAGCCTGCCTGAGCCTGTCCCACTCCACTTACTCCTCAGTGGTCCACAGACACATGGTCTCAGCAGGGAGCACCAAGCCCATCCTGTCATCACCACTGTGGTGTTTAAGTTTCCAAACCGATTCTCCTAGGAGTGTAATACTGTCTCTGTTAGCGTAGGCTAATGGCCAGGGAAGGGAGATGGGTGATTTAAAAGGAATCAGGTGTCTGCAGGGGAGGGAGGGGAGAAGGGGACAGGGAGAGGCATCCAGCCATTTAAAGTCAACCGCTATTTGAAGAACAGGCTTGCTGTAAACGTATCTTGTTAGTTAGCGGACACTGATTGTAACCGGCAGAGCAACACCATAGCACACATAGCCGAAAAGAAACTTGCGTTGTCATTGCCAGCTCAGAGCAGCCGAGAGGATCGATCGGAAGGATCTCACAACATGGGGAGCCCTGAGAAATTCCCAGAGTAGGATGAAGGAGAGAAGTCCCACTGGGACTTACCTAGGAGGTTTCTGAACCACTTTGGCTTCTTGTCCCATACAATAAAGAGGTAGTAGGCAGGAACTCCAGTCAGGGTTATTGCAAATCCAATCCCTGTATTCACCGGATCAGAGTAAAGTGACAGTGCAACCATGAAAAGGCAGGTGAAGGAAAACAATGCTGGAATAAATAGAGGCACCTGAAACCACACAAAGAACCGTTGCTTTACATTGACCTTGTTATTGAATGACTATGGCATTTAATGTTCCATGAAACGTAAATTGGATAAAACCCAGCAGTACAGGATAGTTCTGAGAAATATGGGTATCTAGAACACGCATACTAAATGTCAGTGACTGCAGAAACCAAGCTATGCAGAGTGCTGTGCAGTGAGTACCATAGAAGTCTTTTAATTACACACTAAAACACTACAGTGTTTTACGTCCTTTAAAATGTAAGGGCTGTAAATAAGTTACATTGCAGAAGTCCTTTCTCTAATCCCCCAGTAGATAAGTAAGCAGCTCTAACTGCACTAAAGATTTCCTCTTTGATAATTACCTATTAGAAAACATTTTAAAACACAACCAGGAGCTCAAGTCACCTTTTAAAACTATTAAGAACATATTGATTTTCTTCCTAAGGTAAAATCAAAATCTAGCAGGAAGAGAGCAAATTAAACACCAATTTGACTAGTGATAAAGATATTTGATAGCATTATGCAACTGATAGCTACTGAAAAAGCACTTTCTGACTGTATGACTGATAGCATTATCAGTGTCACTGTTGAAAGTACAAAAAATAACAATATAAAATTAATTCTCTCAATTTTCAAGAGCATCACTACAATCACTATGTTAGCATCTCTCTGAAGGAAATGCCTACAGGCATGACTTGTGAGATGTTTGGTGTAACAGAGAATTGCAGAATTCCTTAGAGATTATTCTCTTCCTTTCATGCCTTGAAGCACTACTGTTCCTCTTTTGTGCACTGTCAAAGCTGCTTTTTTTTTTTTTTTTTTGAATCAAAGCAAAATAGGTTGTGCTGTTGACCTTCTTATTTACAGATATACCTACAAGAATGCAACAGTGCACATTCTTAGTTCTTCACAAAATAGGCTTCTTGGTAATATATAAATAGGGATAGATTCCTCCATTTTTTTTTCATAATGGACATTATCCTCCTGGATACACAATGGGACAACTTACTTTGTAAGACGTTACTTAAAATCAGCAAGAATAGCAGCAGAACCAAGGCCAAAACAGCTACTGTTCAATGGGCCAGGCAATTAGCATTTTCTTTCTGGGTTCACAATAACTGTGTCTGCAAATCCATTGCAAGTCCCAAACATCATAAGAATAGCACTAATAACTTATTTGTACATCAAATTGGTATATTTGATATTGAATAGACAATTAAATAAATGTTTAATATTAATGCTTATGCTTGACATGAAGTCTGGTGGCAAAATTTTTCAGGCCTTTATCAAAGGAGACATTAAATAGAGGATGCGCTGAAAATCAGGTTGGCACACGTAACCTGAACATTTGCAGTTTGAACCCTGTGTGACTACACAGGACTAGAGGTATTTTCACACAGCTTGCAACACGCTGCCTCAATGCGACAGAAAGGCAAAACTGAGCAAACATCTTCACTTTGGCACAGCAGCTTCAGTCACTGCCCCCCAAGCACCAGGGAATAGGCAAGAATGAGCTTTCAGAAGGGAACACAGCTGGCATAGCGCTGGGGAGCTTGCAGGAAAACACTCGGAGACCCTTCACTGCCGAAGACTATTTTCTTTTAACTCTGTTTTTCTCAAAAAACAGATTAGCTTTCTACATTAGAAAATGCTCCTTTACTGTCTGACTACACGATGGATAGGAGGGAGAAGTATTCATGTAAAACAGTAGAGAGCGGAGGTTACCTTGAAAGGACGAGGCATATCAGGACGTTTATATCGGAGATAAATCAACCCAGCAACTACTAGTCCAATAAAAAGCCACCTGGCAAAACTGAGGAAATTCAGGAGGCTGTAGAGATCCCCGTTGAATAACATTATCATTGTGAGAGGATGCTGCAAAAGAAATTCAGAGCATAAGAGGGGTTTAGTGGATTGCTCTCTATTATTTTACAGCAGTAATGTCAAATTTTTCCATGGGGACAAGCAGCACAGCCTTTCACAGAAACACCTGAGGGCCACAGAATTCGAGCCTGCCTTTGCCATGCAATCAGGTGTGTGATCAATACATAGCTGTCCCCTGAGATCACGTTCGATCAATATATCTCTGTCCCGGCTGGCCACATGCAATCAATACATATGTGTCCCCTGTCACCCAGACAAACACACAGGCACCCAGCCCACTGCATCACCAAAATGCTTGAGCATCCTGGGCACCGTTCTCACGGGACCTGACAAATACATTAGACCACTGCAGTTTTACTTGCTCATCGTTGATGCAAATGATAAGAGCAGTTAAATTTTGGTCACATCTGATCGTATGAAAGCAGAGGTTTCTAGGTGTCTCGCAGCAGGAAAAAAAATCTTACAGTCCCCCAGGCTGCAACAGGGGAACTCGGCAAAGAGGGCATGGTAGGGGGTAGCTGCACACCATGGGATGCCAGCTGGGCACACCAGCTTGCCACCAACTTGTATGTGCAGTACGCTTTTCAGGCTCGCAGGGTGTAAGCTTATTGCACATTGGAAATGCAAACATTTCTAAGCAGAGAGAAGCATTTAGCTGTCACTCAAGCAGCTACTGTAGAGCAAAAAGGAGAGGGGACACTGGAATAAATACACTCCCTCATTAAAAAGCTGTTCTGAGATACAAGGCTTTTGTAGGGCAGGCAAAAGCTTATGTATAAACTAGCGTTGTGCCTTGGTCAGATGAGCTTATCGCCTTCTACAACTACCTGAAAGGAGGTTGTAGCAAGGCAGGGGTTGGTCTCTTCTCCCCAGTAACTAGCGATAGGACAAGACGAAACAGTCTCAAGTTGTGCCAGGGGAGGTTCAGGCTGGATATTAGGAAGAACTTCTTCACTGTAAGAGTCGTTAGGCTTTGGAATGGGCTCCCCAGGGAGGTGGTGGAGTCACCATCCCTGGAGGTGTTCAAAAAACGTTTAGACGTGGCGCTTCAAGACATGGGTTAGTGGGTTTAGCGGGCATGGTGGCATCGGGTATATGGTTGGACTTGATGATCTTTGAGGTCTCTTCCGGCCATAATGCTTCTATGACTAGTGTAGGTTACAGGGATCTACTTCAGGGTAATGCCTGGATAAAAGTAGAATATTTGTAGCTTGGATCATCTCTGCAGGGTAGTCTGCATTTCCCACGTGAGACACCCTATGACACAGTCCTTGCATTTGAGGATGAAGGAATGGATCAAATTCACCATAGCCCTTATTGTTCGGCAAGAGGGAAGATCCTGGCAGTGACAGCCTCTCTAGGGTTACAATGAGGCAACCGGTGAAATTCACTGCAGATGTGGGCTAAATCTCTATGTAAAGAAAACTTAACTTGTATTAGTTATCTAGATTCACAGCCTGCCTCTCTCCTCTTTTTTTTTTTTTTTTTAAAGCAGTGAAGACAGCATGGATTTGAACCAGAAGGATCAATATTTCAAATGTGGGTCTCTGGCTTCCAACCTCTAATGACTTACAAAGTGCTTAGTTCTTTACACACAGATATTAAGCAAACTCCTTCTCTGTAAAGGTCAAAGGAAATTTTACCACTGAATTATATCGGGCAAGATTTCTTCTATATAGACTCAGCCCCTAAAAGTTTAGAATCTCAGTTATAAGCATGACAGTGCAATAATGGGCCACAAACAGAGAAGGAGAGCTATCGAGAAAGAAAAAAAAAAAAAAAAAAGAAGGGTTACAATCACACTGCACGATTTCTTGGAGTTGCTACACACATATCTATCAAATACCAGGACATACATAAACAGACTTCTTAATTCCTAAAAATCCTTTTTCATTTAACAAGCCTCAAACACTGAGGATGCTCTTTTTCTCAGTTTATCCTCAAGAGCTCTTTCCTTTCTTACAGTGTGTAGACCTTGGCAGGAGAACTAAAACAGAAAAATGTTAAAATGCAGACTATTGATGCAGAATATATCCTGCAACTACTCTATTTGCAATAAGGCAAGAAAAAAATTTACAATCTCTGAAGGAAAGACATCTTCATATGAGAATCTGACTTTTTCAAAGGAAATCAATGCACTGGTGTAACAGGATCAGAGGAAATAGTAAAAAAGGTCTTTCAGAAAAAAAAAAGTATTAATACATTTTGTGCATTTCATTCCACAAAAAACAAAAATGCAATTGACCCAAAAGGTATGACTACTTCACCCAAAGAAATAAAATGCAAAGTAAATGCTTATGCAAAATGAATTCCATTAAAATTTTCCACCACGATCACGTTGCCTAATTTTCAAAATTCGGAAGCCTACTGTTATCATAGAATCGTTTGGTTGGAAGGGACCTTAAAGACCATCTCGTTCCAACCCCCTTGCCATGGGCAGGAACACCTTCCACCAGATCAGGTTGCTCAAAGTCCCATCCATCCTGGCCTTGGACACTTCCAGGGATGGGATTATTGATTTAATATTGAATCAACAGCTTCCCTGGGGAACCCGTTCCAGTGCCTTACCACCCTCACAGGGGAGAATTTCTTCCTAATATTTCATCTAAATCTTCCCTCTTCCAGTTTAAAGCCATTGCCCCTCATCCTGTCACTCCATGCCCTTGTCAAAAGCCCCTCCCCACCTTTCTTGTCAGCCCCTGTAGGTACTGGGAGGCTGCTCTAAGGTCTGCCCGGAGCCTTCTCTTCTCCAGGCTGAACAACCCCAACTCTCTCAGCCTGTCCTCAGAGGAGAGGTGCTCCAGCCCTCAGATGATCTTCATGGCCTCCTCTGGACTCGCCCCAACAGGTCCATGTCCTTCTTGTGCTGAGGACCCCAGAGCTGAAGGCAGTACTGCAGGAGGGTCTCACAAGAGCGGAGCTGAGGGGCAGAATCCTCTCCCTCGATGTGCTGGTCACCCTGCTTGGGATGCAGCCCAGGACACAGTTGGCTTTCTGGGCTGCCAGTGCACATCACCAGGTCATGTTGAGCTTCTCATCAACCAGCACCCCCAAGCCCTTCTCCTCAGGCTTGCTTTCAATATGCATGTGCACATATAAAATTCATCACTTCAGCTGGCACTTTAGAAATGAGTTTATAGGCATCTATAGCAAAAACTGATTTAAATTGCAGTACAAGCATCTAATCTTACTAGCGTAGACTCATAGATGCACATGCATCTTCTGCTGTGGCTGGAACTCCCCACAGATGCAGAGGCCTGTCCAGATACATTACGGTCATTGGTCCCAAAAGAGGAGCTGAACACCTACAGTTATGGAGACCGCAAGTTAAGTGAAAATCTTCCTGGCACTACACAAATTGAGGTTTGAGGTTGGTATTTCGACATTTTGTCTTAACATTTTACCGTACAAATTAGTCTGCAACGCAAACACATGGCCAACATTTAGCTCTGCCGCTATTTTAGAAGTCAGTAATAGGATTTCCACTATAATACTAGTGTTTTTCCTTAGACAATTCACAGACTATTGCCCAGGCACACGTTCTCTCATTTTTTAATCACTGCTACACTGCACTGCTGAGGGTCCCCTTTCCATTATCTTGGTGCATAATTGTTTGCATTTTTCACTACAAGGTGGTATAATGGGCCTTTGGGGTGCTCCCAGATGCTGGTGTTCAGCTGCACTTTCAGTTAAATGAATCCCTTTTTTTGTTTGTTTGTTTAACCGGAATTTGTTTCTCTGAAAGGGAACTAGCTCATCACTAGCAGGTCCGTAGAAATAAAGGGCAGTATGACATGAATTAGGTTGCAGCAATAGGCAGTCAAGTGCTACCGACAAGATAGCAAGGAGATGACAGAATAAGAACAACTCCCAAATCTCATTCCTCTTTTTACTGTCCTCTGCCCTGCCCAAAGCCCATGTACACATTAATAAATGAGACTCAAGCAGTGCCCAAATTCTGTTTGAATCCTCCGGAGCAAGCCTGTAATATGAATTCTCATGCAGGAACATTTGTTTGTATGATTTACCAAAACAATGACAGCTGGCAGAGGAGTGTGCTTGCGGACATGAATCATGGAGAGAATTTCCGGAAGGTGACCCTCGCGGGATGCAACGAAGAACATCCTGGTGGGAAATAAATGTGGACAGACTTTAAATGTGCTCATTACTGTGACTAGGCAAAGCAGCTCGTGAAAGTCACAGAGCACAGCGGCACTTCTTGGGCTTGTTTGAGCCGTTCTGAATGAAAAGATGAGCAGGAGAAGCTCATACGCGGAAATCAAAGTCATCTCTGAAGGTGTCTCCCTCCTTACCTTACACTATGATCAGTGTTTGGATTTAGTTAATATTTTCCCTCCGATTTCCCTCCTTCACATGAAACAAAGCAGCCGTTAATTAAGTGCTATGCTCAGAGGGATCCATTTCCAAACCATTCAGAGGGTTTTAACAATAAGATACTAAATTTAACAGGAACAAAGTGAGAAGAAGTCCCACACCTCGTAAACAACGTAGTCATTTTTCATTTCCTGCTAAAGGAATGACTCCTACTCTCCCTTCCCCTTGCTTCCTTACTTTCAGTGTGTATCCATGCCCTTCACCCCCAGCAATATTAGCAATGCTCACCTGGAGACTGCAAAAATGCCACCATTCATAGATCCAAAGCAGGAGAGAGCAACAAATACTGGTACAGCTAAAGAAAAGTTTCCCATTAGTCGTTCGGCAAAGGTCTGTTAGAGGAGAGAGAAACATGCCATGATTTTTCACAAAATGTGAAAGCGATTTTACTCTGTTAACAAATTATTAATGAGTATAGTAAGCTTTATTTATACCCCTTTTCTGCATCTCCCCTCACTGAAAGTTGTGCTGTGCATTTGTTACCTCTTATTCTGTGACACCAAGGCCACCGCAGCTGAGGTCTCTCACCCTTACTCCTGACTGCGCGTGGAAGATCGCCAGTTGAGGCAATGCTGCGGAGGCGGAATCAAGTCCTGACTTACATCAATTTAGACCATTATGACTCCAAAAAAGAAGACCCAGTCTGAATGGATCAAGGTCTGATCTGCATACCTAATAATTTTTTTTCCTACAGCCTTCATTTTACCCAGCTGATGCTACTCAGTGGTGTAGTCCGTCCAGTCACGCTTTGTTGTTCTAGGCTACCAGAAGAGCCTTATTTGAATTTTAGGGCACCACAGGAGACATGCACAGTTTTCTTCAGGTTTGCAAAATGTTTTGTTACAAAATCTCCCATGAGCTACAGAATTTGGTCATTTTTTAAATGGCACATCAATTGAAATAGCCACAGGTAGTGTCATAACTGGAAAGTAAATGGAAATTTTTATTTCCTCGTTGCGAGTCAGAAACCATAAATATAAAAATCAGCGTCATCACCACAATTCAGCAAGAACAATCAAAGCAGTATTTCCAAGCCAGGCTGCCTTGCAGCTCCTTCCCAAATAAACTCCGATATTCACAGCAACCCCCTTCCTAAGTACTGGGGACGCACGTCGTGCAGACAGCGTTACCGCTTCTTGCTACAAAAAATAGTTCAGAGCTCCCACTTCCACAAATATCTGTCTCTCCTGTTTCCCAGGAGTTTGGCCTACAATTTAGCACAGAATTTTTCAGGCGTGTACTTGGCTGTAAAATTTAAGTCCTTTTGACTTTGTTATATAAGGTAAATAAATACGGTCTAACATTACGTTACAAATGCTATCGATGGCCTTAAGTGCAATCCCACTCATCAGTCAAAAATCAGCCTAATTTCACTGAGATGCTAATATGTGGTGTAAAAGAGAAGCCATAGAAAAGCCTGATCGGATGTGTCCCCCCGATTTTCCTCCCCTGGAAATTAGAATATATCAACAAACACAACTGCAGCAGGGATATAGCTTTGTTATTTTTCTTCTGTAACTTACCACTGCTACAGCTTTTGAAAGCAGCAATTCCCCAGCACTGATTGTAGTGAAATAAGCCACGTTTGTTAACACATAGCCAACTGTGACGATAATCATTGAAATGCATATTGCGAGGGGTATGTTTCTGAAATACACAAGGTAGCTCATTATTTTGCAATCTGGTTGCTATTCCCTGAACATGAAACAAATAACATGAGAAGAAGCCACTAATGATGGTGAATGTACATTTGGTGATCCCAAAATACCGTAATTAGAAACTACCAGTTAAAAAAAAAAATAAAAAAATCACACATCTAAACAAAAACACCTAGACAAAGCAAATAGGTTTATAATGAAGAGGTGAGAAATCATTTGAGGGAGGAGTCCTTTGGGGACGCCAAGAAGTTGTGGTCCCCATGTTTCCCATACAAGAAGTAGGGCCCGTTTGAGCTGCCTACCCGTACCCACTTTCAAGCTGAGCCCAAGAGGAAGGCAGCAGGTATCAGTGCTCCCGCCAGCAGTACAGCAGATGACAGACGCAGGTGATCCAGCTCTCTGTTAGCAGAGCAACCACAGTGGCATCTCCAACATACCTACTGGCGCGCAAGGACTGCCCACCCGGAGGCGGTTCAACATCTTCCCCTGGATGCCAAAACGTCCGGCATGTGAAATTCTGCCCTTTCCTCCTCTGTGCAATTCTTCCCTCGCACACCTTACCATATCCCCAATTATCTCTCTCGCTATTCAGGGATATATGAGCACAGAGTATGACAGAGAAATAGGAACAGCACAAATTTGTGCTGTTAGCACAGCACGAATAGTACTGAACAGTACAAAACCCCAGACATCTTAGCTAAAAGACAGAACAATAACACACAAATAAATAACACTGAACTTTTATACAGCATGTCCTCTCTGTCAGCAAAGCAGAAAACCAGAATTATTTCTATTTTAAAGAGGAGGAACAGAGGCACAGTGAATTCATCCGAAGCCATACTGCAGGCAAATGTTTGAGTTAGGAAAAAAAAAAACAAACACAAAACAGATGCTTCAAGCGTTACTCTAGTTTCTTTCCACTTAGTATCATTGCTTGATATCACTGATATCTGCAGTGCACCAACACGAGACTCAAATCTGAAACCAGTGTTCAGTCCTTTAATTCCAACGCCGAGAGCTGCAGCTGGAAAGACGCAGTATGTGTGCTCCCCCTGAGGACAGCTGAGAGCTCCTTCTTCACGGCCAGTTCCCTCCAGCTCTCTACATTGAGATTGCTTTAGAAGAGATGGAGAGGCTGCTATACTTAGAGAACTTTGTTGTGAAGGTCACCCCATGAGGTGGGAGAAAGGAGAGACAGAAGAAGGAATTCTGGTGTCCCAGAAGAGACAGCAAGCACAGTCATAAAGGACTATTGCAACTACATCCAGGGAAAAGGTGTTTTGAAAACCAACACAAAGATCCGTTATTTTCTGATATTTTTCTCAAAGAAACACAGCTGGGTAAGAATTTAAGGATCCTCTTCACCACCAGCCCTTATTTCTCAAAGCAATCCTTGACATCAGTACGCCTGTATAGAGCTGAAAAGAAGCTCTAAACTGAGACTAAATAAATAAAGCGAGACAATATTGCTGTTGCACATCTTGCCCACCTTAGAAACCACGGTGTTAAATACTGTCGTTAACCCAGACACGGAGGTAGGCAAGAGGATCGTGCTGTATTGCAGCACCAAATCTGGGCGGACAGGATGATACTGCATTAACCCACTGCTACCTCAGGCACACACGGTCCCAGGTGAAGAAGCTGGAAGGAGAGGAGCCAGCCAGCTTGTGGGATGTGCTTGCTGATGGAGAAGGCAATGGCAAGGACCCGAGCAAACAGCCCAGAATACAAGTGCTGTGTTGCTGGGAAAACCACAAAGTTACTGACTCAAGAAATACTGCTGAAGCGTGTTGATTGTGCAAAAAATGGTTTTGTGGGTCAGGTGCCAGATATTTTGCAACCAGTTTGGTTAAGCTTCTTACCCAATCTGAGTGTAAAGTGAATTCAATCCACTTAGCATCTGATTCAAGGTAGGGATACATGGTTTCAAGGCTCCTCAAAACAGAAATTTTAATTGTATCTTCTGCATGACAGATGAATGCTTCAATCACCAAGCTATTGGATATATCAGCACTCACTCCAACCTTAAAAAAATGTTTCCAGTCAAAAATAGCAAATTTGTACTATTTTCAGAAATACCATTTGAATGACTGAAACCACATTGTTAAACTTAACAAACTATCTTTGTCCATTCTAACTTTTACTAACCACCTGATTGCTATATTCGCTTCTAATTTAAATCCCAGTTTAATTTCCTCTAAAACAAAATGGCAGTTCAAAACTAAGGGGGGGGATCATGTTTCCCTTTTCTTAGCACTGTGGGTTCTGCCTTGTTACGCTGAAGAGCACTAATCCCCTTGGATAGTGATAGCAACAACAACAAAACCTCAGGAAAAGAACAAACCCCCCCAAACAAGCCAGAACTAGTCAGCAAGCACTATTCATTAAAAAACCTGCAGATCATAACTCATGCCTGGAGCAGCACAGGGATGCTGTGACTTCTAAGCTCCCGAGTCCTCGTCTTCCGAGCGAAGCGAGCGCTCAGGTTGCATGTCCTTTTGTCTCCCGGCAGGAGCAGGCCTTCAGAGAGCTGCCGTACCTTCGCACACAGCCCCTCCGAAGGCTCCTTATTAGCCCCTGCTTTCCGTGACAGATTTAGACAAAAATGAAAGGCCAGTTTCAAGATTTCAGGGATGAGTAATATGGTACGGTTCATTTTCTCACTGACACCTCAGTTCAGATTTACATTTGGTCCTCGAATCATCTGAAAGCACAGACAGACAGGTATGAACCATATGTAAAACCACTAGGTGAGAGCTTTAATCATGTCTTTTCTATCCATCCAATTTAAGAGGCAGTTCCCAATTTGCAAGAGGATCCCATTATCAAACTCACTGCTATGAACTATAGTCACTGCACTAGAATAAAAACTGGAATGCCATTACCAATAAAGATTACCTCCTTTCCTTGGAGGGTCACTGTACCAATTTCCTTGTGTTTTAGATATGCTCCTAGACTTCCAAATCTTCTCTTCAAATCAGGAAAAATCATATCTAAGTTCTATTCTCCATTAAATTGCCTCTATCGATGCAGATTTCACCTTTTCACTTCTGCATCCTATGAATCAAACACAACATAGGGCATTAGCACATCAATAAGCCACGTTTCTGATATAATGCAAATGCACAACCGTCACACAGCTAGTTGAGTGTTTTGGACTAGAGGGAGTCAGAAAATTCAAGAAAAAACAGAAATCTTTTTCAATTTAAGATTCTGATTCATTGAAGCTAAAACTTCTGATGGGAAACCTGACCATTTCAGTACAACATTTCTTAGAAAAAAATAAAAATCTTAGAACAAACACAGAAACCTTGTCCAAGTGGTAGAGGCCTCAGAACTGCCGATGGCTTAAAAACGATAGCATTGTGTGTGCTCAGATGCAGGAGACTGTAACATTTTATTTACTGAGAGCAAGCCCAAGACTTGAACTTGCATTGAAGTGGCTACTGGTTACTCTAGGGCAGTGCTTTCCTTTTGCATTTCATCTCAGAGTGAAATCTCAACAGATTGCAAAATCAAGAAAAAAAAAATTTTTTCAAATCAGCTCTTTTTCTGAGTAGACCTTGAGGTGATGACGTTAGCCCCAAACCTATGCAATGATTTGGAAGTATCTCATGCATTACTGCCAAGACAACAGTCAAGCAGGCTGCTCCTCGGGTAGAAGGGAAAGCCGCTGCCAGGAAAGTCTTTTGCCATATTCAATTCTTCTCTCAGAATTTAAAGAAAATCCGTACCAAAAGAAAAAAAAAAATATCTGGGGAAATCTGAGTCAGGAAAATACCGATGATATAATTAAAAGGTCTTTATAAAATCAGATGAGACACAATTAGGGTAACTTCTAAGCACCTCAGCATTGATTAAAATTGAAATGAATCTCCACACATTTGAATATTTACCCATCCCTAACTACTATTCAAAGCCAAATCTTCCCCTTCTGCCCTTTGTACAAAGCACTTGCAATGAAGAACCGCAACAGCCTAAACGAAGAGCACGTCTACCTTACGCTTCCCACAAAAAGTCACTGAGGGTTCTACCATCACAGAGAAATTCAGCATTAGGAATACAGCTAATCCATCCTGTGGCCATACAGAGCTGAAATGCATTGCCAAGCTATGCTGTCTACGGCTTGGAAGCAAATTTCCTCCTTTTAGAGCCTGTAAAGGGCCCCAGAGCTAGGGCACAGGGTTCAGTTAATCGGGATATCCACTGGGTTTTGGATTTGACCTTTGGTGTTGCAGAATCGTAGATCTTCTGATAATCTGCTCTGGTACTGCTCTACCTCCTGCAAGTATTTTAGAGAGAAAAAACACAGAGCAGAGCAGGAGGGGCTGGGGGGGAAGAAAAAAGGGAAAAAAGAAAAAGAAAGCCGGAACAAGGACCTGAGGATAAGAAGAACAATGTCAATAAATCAGCCGAGGAACATTCCCAGAAGTCTACAGCTCATATCCCAGCTTAATGACAACTTTCATAACAACAAACAGCAAGCGCTAAGAGCTGTGACCACTGCGGGCTGTTCTTTCTATGGAACAACAAGCACACCGTCAAATATGCCCCACTGAGTCAGCTGAGTTCACAAGTATAAAACACATCGTCACCACATCCTTTGTTGTTTAGAGGCAACGCCAAAATAATTTCCTTGCATCCATTTCAAATCCAGGTTTTATAAATGCTCAGCCTGAGTTATCTGTTCTGGAAAAAGCTGCACCAATGGGACTCAGCTGGGAAACATAAATAAAATGGTCTAAACAAATCAGTTAATTACTGATAAAGTTAGGTGAGATCAACTACGTCTCTACCATGCTATGGAAATTGTGAAAAAAAAAAATTTAAGAAAGGAAAAAAGGAGAGAGAAAAAGTCCTAATTCCTTCATGTGGTTCCCAGGCAAGGATTTGCTTGGTTTTTGTGAGCATGAGCCTATAGATGCTTTATAGAAAATTTACCACCACAGGAGTTTCAAGATTCTTTTCGAAAGTTCCCTCATGCAATAA